GTCCCCTCCATCCGATCCACGTAACAGTGTCCTGTCACAGTGACTTTAGGTACATGAAACACACACCTTATCAAGAAAGCTGACAGGTACAAGATTTAGGTCAAAAGAGGAAAAAAACTTTGGTTTTACTTAGCGTTGTCTTTTCTCCCCAGATTAATGACTGCATAATTAATACACAACCACAGGAACAATGAGAATGTAGCTCTTCCTACTCTTGTGTCAGAGGATGAATCACAAAGGTATCTCTTCTGGCTCCTTTATTCCAGACTGAGGAAGAGCCAGTTCTACCAGGGGTTGATATTATGGCTTACACCCTTCTTTAAAGTTGTTGTACAGCTCAAAGTAGCTTTTAAAGTATAAGAGATACAAATCTGAATCCTTCCAGACTAAGGTGTGCTTAAAACCTTCATCTTTCAGCTCTTCAGTAATCACATAACAACCCTACTGAAAAATTACAGGCATTATCTCTTCCAGGATTACACAGAATACTTGGACACGTCCCTTTTGAACACTACATCATCTGCTTACTTCTTTGAATGACACACTACTATAGTTTCTGCTTGAAAAGTTACCTGTCAGTTTGCTAAAATGTCAAGGAAAATATGTTTTTGTTGTCAAACAAAACAAAGAATTTTCACGTAATTGGTCCTTGAGATTTTCAGTTTGGCTCTAGACCTTACTCTGTTAAGGCATTTATCACTTTGCAGAGATAAATGTATTTCAGATGTACATCTGTTTTTGGGTGTGTTTGAGTACAGTACTATACTCTTTGTACACCATGAATGATTCTATACTGAATCACACACGCAATATATTTTTTTCAAGTGACTATAATGGGTGAGTGAAGAATTGCTTCTTTCCCTAAAGAAGAGCAGTACAGCACATTAATACCTTCCTGTTACAGACAGCATCACAGAAGGCTGATGACATCCAACAGCCTAGGCTTATGATTTGGCCAACAGAGACACTGGAAGTAACAGCCAACACTTTTGAAAGAGCATGCTTCCTAGTAGTCATTAGCCTTTGCCTCTATTTCCAAAGGTGTTATCAGCTATGAACATTATAGCAGCAATTGAATTTGCTTTTTATGATCATTGCAGACCTTTACTGTAATACACAGAGGCTGCTGCTGGCATTATCATAATTCTTCTAACTTTGAGATTAGATTAATGCAATAAAACTTCACCTTAAAAGAGAAACTTGGAGAGTAGTACAGGTTACATGATACAAGAAGGGCTACCTAGATGAAAACACAGCTGAAGATAGGCATTTCTGCTTGTGTCTAGATAGAAGCTGAGACATTGGGTAGTTACCAAAAGAACCTTACAAGACCACAAGACCTGGTTATCTTGAACAGACTAAGCAACCTCTACCTCCCTGTCCCCTCCCTTCCCCCACACAACCTCTCCCCCATACCCACAGAACCTGTTGACCCAGGCCTGTACCATGTCCTCCCCCCAGCCTTCCTTCCCCATAGGAAAGCTGTAAAATTAAGAGTGCAAAAGGATTTCTACTGTTTTAATAGATCAGGCTGTAGTCATGCCAGTCTTGATGGGAGCTATGCCTTCTCACAGCTCTTTAACCTGAATTAATTCAACTTTATTCTCCCAGGAATTCTTAAAACACCCTTCTATACAATGTGGGAGTGTGGGAATGTGAAGGGAAAGAGGAGAACATAAGGTATGCTGAGAGGGGCTTTCAGGTAATGTTTTTGGTTTTTACTGTATACTTGCTAAGAAAGATACCAGGTTGATTTGCCTATCTGAAACCAATGATGAGTTTTTTTGCATTTTATTAAAACATTCCACTTTCCCAAGGGCTTTTTTATAAAGACTTAAATTCAGAGTTTTAAAGTATTTATGGAAAAAATCAAGGATGAGAACTTTTCCTGTCATTTATGCCTAATTAAATGGGCAGCTTCATCACATAGCTTTGCATCAATTTCTGTACTGTTTCTGACTGAGAAAATAATTCAGCTTAACAACCAAGCAAAGCAGAGCTTGAATTTTGCATTGCACTGGCATGAGTGATTCCACAAGTGTTGGTGTGCACCATCTCAGTTTTCATTCAGTAAGCACAAAATACCTTAGGACAAACTATATTGTTCCCATTAGTAGCTTACTGGTGTTACTACACAACAAATTGTGCTGGTATTTCTTACCTTGTATTGTCTGCTTGGATTTGAGCACTGCAAACTCTTTATGTGCAGGAAGCAATAATGAAGTGGTATAGGAACAGCTGCACCAAATCTGCTGAAAAGTCTCCATATGCTATTTTTAGTGTGAGAACCATCAGTCCAGAACAATTACTCCAACATCATCTACGTTCACCTAATTTTAAGGGGAAGGCTTGCTGTTCAGCAGATGCCCTTAGTCAAATGGGAGGATTTGACAGCATGGTTTCTCAGGGTTAACAAGAGCCTTCACTCACCAGCTAAAAATTAGCAAGCAAAGGGCTACAAAAATGCATCATTGTCCAGACTGGTCTACAAGAAACCAAACGATGGCAATTTTGTTAAGCACGTAAAGTTGTATTTTAGCTTGTCACAATCTTCAGACAAGGTTAGAAGAGAGCAAACACAATCATGTTACTAAATAAAAACCGCATTGTTTTGTCATCCATAAGCATACTGCGGGTGTGCTGTGGGCAAGCTATTGATGAACTTAGCATCTATATTTAAAATAATGGTTTGCAACACTGCTAGTCTTTGATAACAAGGATAGTATTTTCTTACTGAATATACAATTTTTTGAGGATGGAAGCAGTAAGACTAACTAACCTTACATAAGCCGTTAATTTCCACTAATGTAAATAAAACCCTGAAATGACATAAAAACTCCAATGTTCAAACAATGAGTTCTGTCTGTCTGTTTAAAGGGGAATAGACAATGAACACTGGACATAATGCAATAACCCAAGGCATTGTTACTGTTATGAGAACTACGCATTCTCTATATTTTTGTCGATGCACATCTTTCAGGAAAAGCAGAGTTAACACTGCTTGACAATACCCAATGACACTGTGCACCTGTCAAGATGACGTGCGTCTGTTTCTTTTCAGTTTAGGAAGCATTGTTCGTTGGCATTAACCTAACACTGGAAGTATCTTCAAATACTGTGGAGTATGTATTGAAATACATTTGAATTTTTTACAGATTTCAAGCAATAGCTAGACTTTACACTTAGACCTATGAACTACGACTGTTTTCGGCGAGCTACGTGAAGAATGCAGTGATTTTTATCCAGCTTTGCTACAAAAGCTCTGCCAAGCTACCGCGAACTGCCTCAAAGCTTCCTGCCAGCCTCCTAAGTGCTGAACACCAAGTAAGAGCACCGAGTAGCAGCGTGGGGAAGGAGGAATACGTACAAGCAACCGCGTCGCGCTGCTTTGCCTCTGCGGCTGCAGTGGAGGGAGCACGTTAGTTTGGTTCTGGCTGCCGGACACCGCTGCTCCGTCACGTCTCCCATGCAAACCCGTCAAACAAGCCACGGCCGGTGCCAAAACGCGGCGCTGCCCTGCAAGCAACGAGGGCGGCGCGCAGCCCTGCCGGGGAGGCTCGGGCGGGAAGGAGCTCGCTCGGCGGCCCGGGCTGCCGGCCGGGGCAGGCGCTGCGCGCTCGGGGGAACGGGCCGACCGTGCCCGCCCGGGGCAGCGCCAGCGCCGACGGGCCCCGGCCTCCTCCGCGCCCCGCCCGCGGCCACCCGACGCTCCCGTGCCCCCGCCGGCGCGGAGAGCGGCTCCGGGCAGCCCCGCTTGTCCCTCCTCGCCGCCCCCCGCGGAGCCAGTTGGCGGCTGGCAGCCGGGGCACTCCGGCCGCTTCCCCGCGGCTCCGCGCTCCCCGCCGGGCCCCGGGACCGACCGGGAATCGCTGCTCGCGCCGTCCGCGCCGCCCACCGCCCGTGCGCGCAAGCGCGGCCGCAGCCCCCGCGCACACCTGCCCGCCCCCCGCCCCCCCCCGCTGCCGCCGCCACGCGACACCGGGGCCGCGCGGAGCGGCGGGAGCGTGCGCGCCCCGGCGCGGCTCTCCCCGCCCCCGGGGGGAGAGCGCACGTGACGCGTCCCCGCCCCGGAGGTGCCGCGACGCGACTTTGTTTGGGAGAGTTCCGTGCGCGCGCGCGTGTTTCCGCGCGGCGGGCCGGGCGGGAGCCGCACGGGAAGCCGGCTATCCCCCCGCCGCCGCCCCGGGGCCCCGGAGCGGAAGGGAGGGAAGGCGGGAGGGAGGGACAGCTGTGGCTCCGCCAAGCGGCGCTACCGCCGCCGCCGGGCAGCGGCCGCCCCGCCCCTGGTCCCGCCCCCGGCGTGTCCCACCCCCGCGGGCCCTGCCCCCTCCGCTCCTGCCGCCGCCGCCGCTGCTGCCAGCGCAGCCTGAACTGAAGCGAACTCCGGAGCGAACTGAGGAGAAGTGAGGAGGCGGCGGCGGGGCTGAGACTCAGCAGCCACAGGCGGCGGCGGCGGCAGCAGCAGCAGCAGCAGCAGCAGCAGCAGCGGCGGCGGCGGGAGGGCGGGCGGGCGGGAGGCGGAGAGGAGGAGGAGGACACACGCCAGGCGCAGCGCGGCGGCAACAACAGCAGCAGCGGCGGCAACAGCGGGGAGACACCGGCGGCGGCTCCTCGGAAGCGGCAACCGCGCCAGCAGCGCCTGCCCGCCCCGCGCGTCCCCTCCCTCCCTCCCCCGCCGCGGAGACAGGGGGCAGCGCCGAGAGGAGAACCGGGCTCAGCGTGTGTGTGCGCGGGAGGAGGAGGACGAGAAGGAGGGGGGGACACACCGAGGACTGCGCCGGCCGAGGGCGCACGGAGCAGGGAAGCGGCGGCGGCGGCACCGAGAGGCGGCGGCGGGTCCTTGTGCCCGGAGAGGAGGGCGCAGCCCGCACGGGGGTTTCTACCGAGTTTCCTCTTTTTTTTTTTTTTCTTTTTTTTTTTTTTACCTCGGTCCCTGGGACTCAGCCGCGGGTCTGCGTTTGTCTCCGGATTTGAATCCTCCTCCTTCTCCTCCTTCCTCGGGGAAGCTCCCCTCCCCGCCCCCTCCCCTCCCCCACCGCCTCCCTGCCCGCCCGGATCCAGCCGGGCGCCCCGTGCCGCGGTCGCGTTGCTCGGCAGAGCTGCTGCGGGCGCTCGCCGTCTCTGCGCGGGCTTGGAATATGGTTGGGGAAATGGAAACCAAGGAGAAGCCGAAGCCGAGCCCCGATTACCTGATGCAGCTGATGAACGACAAGAAGCTGATGAGCAGCCTCCCCAACTTCTGCGGGATCTTCAACCACCTCGAGAGGCTGCTGGACGAAGGTAAAAGCTCTCGCCCGGCCGCCCCCTCCCCCGCCCCGCCGCCCTGCCCTGCCTCCCCCGGCCCGGGGATCCCGCTCGGTCCCCCGCCCCGGCCCGGCCGGGCGGCGGGGGCGGCCCGGGGCCTGTTCCGCTCTCCCCGCTGCTCCCCGCACGCTCCCGGCCCCGGCTGGGGAGCCGAAAACAAAGGGGAAGTGCGGGCTCTCCCCGCCCTGGCCGCCGCCGCCGCGCGGTGCCGGGGAACTCGGGGAGCGAGTGGGAGGGGAGAGGCAGCCCCGGCCGCGCGGGTCCCCGATCCCCCCGGAGGGTTTTCCCCCTTATTTTTCCTTCTTTTTCTTTTTACCCTTTTCCGCACTATCTCCTTAAACCGGGGGAAGGGTAGCTACAGCACGGAGGGGAGGGAGCGAGGAGAGGAGCTCAGGAATGCGCTCTGGGGGAAGGCAGGGAGGAGGGGAAAGGCTGGCTGGCGGCTGGCGCTCCCCTCCCTCCATCGCTCCCTCCCGCGGCGGCGGGGGACACTGGGGTCCTGCCGGCGCCCTCGGAGCGCTCCGCCGCCCGGCCCCAGGGCCCCCGCCGGGGGGGCGGCGGGTGTTTGGTTTCGAGATTTGGCTCTTCTGGAAGCTGCTTGGACTTGAATGACTAAGGCGGAGGGGGACTGAGCTCTTTCTTCTGCTCCAGATCTACCCCACCCCGAACTGGCCGCAAAGTAATTATGATTTTCCTATATCGCAAGGGAAGGGAGCGAATTCTTGTCTCAGCTATCCTTACCTTTTAAAGAAACTGAACTTGAAAGACTCCTACGTGTGACTTTAGTGAAGGGGGAGAAACAAAAAGGGTTACGAAATTGCCTGGTCTGCTCCTGCCAAACGTCCACCCCAGCCTCGCACCCTCTCCTGGCACGGGGCGAGGCCCCCCCTATGCCCCCAGTTTTTTCCCTAGTAACTTTGTTTAGGGTTAAGATTTCACAAATAAACAATCACGGTTTAGAAATTAACAAGAAAAGTACGAGCTGGGAGCTTCCTGTGTCCCATACTTTTTCCCACTACAGTAACAGACCCACTGTGTATCAAAAATTAGGCGAAACACTTGTTCTTAGTGTGTTAAATTCGCCTTGTATTCGGGTTCACAGGTTTGTTTTTCTTGTCGAAGGCATTTCTTTTTTTATGTCTTTAAACCTAGGCTTTCTGGAGACTTAGACCTGTTTGTTTAATCGTATTTGATAGCTTTGTAGAATATGATATGACCATAAATAATTTATAGTTTCGACTTGTTGGGTTTCTTAGTACAAAGTACTGATTTTCGAGATTTTGAGTTAGGGTTCTTGCTTGCGGATGTATTCCTCTTCGCTAAAAGAAGTTTGGGAAGTTGTTGACCTCGGAAGATGAAAGAACTGGTTATATTTGGTAGAACAGCTCCCCGCCCTCCGCCAAGACTGTAAAAATGAGATAGCGACTGTAGTACGACACAAAAATAGCATGTCGAGAAAATGCTACCTTCTGAAATAAGTGATAGAGGAATTTAAAGAAACCCAAACAAACGGTGAAGAATACGGATTGTGGGAAGCATTATAATGGGAGAGTCTATTTTTATTTGCAAGATACTTGGAGGAGTTTGAATATATGTTGGAGTGACTGTGGACGTGAAGAGCAAAACTATTTTAGAACTTACGTTCTTGGTCATCACAGTGAGCAGACTCTTCGGAATAGTTAGATTTACAATAAACATGAAGAAGAAACTTGACCAAGAAGACTCCTTTATAGCACAAATGAGCCTTCCACAGGTTTGATAACGGAGTTTTAAATTCTTGAATCTCTTCAACTTTATGTATTTGGCCAGAGGAGGCCTGAAGTTGTTTTTTTATTTTCAGAGAACAAAAGGAAGAAAAACATTTTCCGACGCAAAAAGGACAGTGAAAAAGGAATTCCCAAAATACTTATGTCTTGTCATATATTTTGAAATACTGAAAACACTGGAAGTCTGTTTGCAAAGTATTGGAGTTCCAAAACGAGGACTCTCGTGATTCTTGCTGACAAAAGTTTAAGGGCTGTGTTGGAACTATTCTTCGCTCTCTTCTTCAAAAGAAAAGCAAATAAAATATAATCTGTGTTCCTAAATGGTCTCTGGAAGAAGCCTGCTATCCCTTTAAGCTTTTCTGCTTTTCCTGTTTACGTTGGCAAATGGGTGGAAGTATTGTGGAGGGAGAAAACTTTTTGGAATGTTGAAAAAAAAGTTTCATGCAAATCTAGTAAATTGCTTCAAGACTTCAGACTTCGAACACTAAGGGGCGCCAGTTATTTTTTTTTCTGAGGCATGAGTCCGCGAGCACCGCTACTGGCTCGGGCAGTAAAATGATCAAGTCTGGTAGAAGACGCCAAAGAATGACAAAATAATGGTGGATTTGTGCAGGTATCTGTGTTTGCATGGACCTCCACGTATTGTGTGCTTACAGATGGTATTACATCGGTGGAATAGGCGGTAGCAGTGAACAGTTGAGGAGTTGGAACAACTGTTTCCCTGTAAAACACCTATCCTGCTTACCAGTGGGGGCTGTGTTAAATATCCTGAACTGTGTGCTCCGCTGACATCCTCCAGCAGAAGGGTTCAGTAATAGCGAACTACAGGTTTGCTGGGAAAGTCTGCAGGATTTAATGTGCTTACTGAAAAGTGTATTATTTCAAGGTTTCATCAGTTGTTTCCTGGCACCCTTGAGAATACCAAGTATTTGGGGCAAGTGCGTGTATATATAGGTATATAGAATCTAAAAATAAAGCTACAGGGTTCACATTCCCTCTTTGCCCCCTCCACCCTGTCATTTGATTTACTTCCTCTAGTTTGTTGTTGTGTGCTTTAGGTAGGTTTTTGGTTTTTTTTTTTAGTTATAATACAACCATTTTCCCGAAGGTTTTGTTTATGCTTGGGAAGAATAATATTATGATCAGCCATTGTCTTTTATTTTGTGTGCTGATCAAAATGAAGAAATAAAGTCACAACCCTAATAATTCAAACAAATAAAAGGTGGGATTGCCTTCCCTACTGGAATGCTAGGTTAGTTTTTTTTTTATTATTACTTATTTATTGTTACATGCCTGTATTTAAAAACAGAACTCAAATGGGCTTCTGCTGTGGTTACTTCTTGTAGTTCTAGGCAGCAATAGATAGAAAGAGACCTGTGGGTTTAGGTGAGCAGTACATCTAATCTGCTTCAGTTACAGAATGTACATCTGCTTTTTTGGGATCCATGTCTATGCTGTGTGTATTATCCAAAGCATGTTTTCCTTTCTGAACTCTGTCCTACTTTTTGATCTCAGAAAATCTTAGTGCTTAATTTGATAGATGATCTCTGTCTTGCAGCATTTTGTTTTTGAAGATTAGCTTAAATGTAAGAAGTGTATTGAGGAAACCTTTTTTTAAGAACTGCTTTCATGAAATGTGAAAGTTACAGTTCTGTTTAGGTTACAGTTATTTTTCCATATATGTGCTTTTAACTTGTTATGTGTAAATAAGTCTTCTGTGGATTAACAAGGATGTTTAAAGAGCACATCATAATAACTAGGAAGCTGAATTGTTTTTATCAGACTGGTGCAAACCTGTGGGAAGAGAGGGCTTTTCCTGAATGTGGAATAGGCTGTATTTCCTGTAATTGTTTGCACCATCAAATGTGACCTGATTTTTTTTTGATTTTTTTTTTTTTTTTTTTTGCTTAAGCTTTTGAGATACTAACTTTTATGATGTTAACCTGGATTTTTTTTTTCTGACAACTTATATATTTTAATGCTCCCCTTTGTGGACAGTGAACAGAGCTGTAGCTGTTTTCTTGCACTGTTTTTAAGAACTGAATTGGACATTTCAAACTCCTCAGTAGCATGCTGACAGATTGAAATTAATGAGGTACTTCAGTTGTATTCTTTCATCAGACTATGAATAAATGTGCCTGAACTATTAACTGGAATCTGAGGACTCTAATTTGTAAATTTACATTTTGTTTTCTTGAACCTGTAAGTGCAGAGGCTCTTGCACCTGATTGGAATGTACACAGATGAGACCTGTGGTCTGAACTGTTTTCAAAAAGAGATTGAAGAGGACCTTATCAAGAATTCATTTTTCCTCAGTAACCTATCCCTGAAAAACTTAGGTCTTTCCTTCAAAACTGTGTTTAAGGTGACTTAAAAGCGTGTCTACCTTTAAATGTAAATTTAGCCATGCATCTGGCTATTGGAGATAAATCTAATTTTGTATCAAATAGGCTGCCTCTTTCTGTCTGCCAAGTTTAACAAAGCTAGTGTAAAACATCCAAGTAGGCAATATGAGGGTAAATTTTTGGTGAATGTTGCTCTCTCTGTTTCGTTTCCTCACTGATGAAAGTGCATGTGAATTCGGGGAGCTTAGTGCCCAAAGTGCAGTTTTTGTGTCGGTCTGGTTGTGTTAAGCACAACGTCTGTGTGAAGCAGAGCCGAAGAACTGTGTTCTGGTGTTGTAAGTGAGTTCTCCCTGGAAAGTTATCTAGTTACTTTTGTACATGACCTTATTGTTTGTGATTATGTAAATGTAGCCTGTGCTTAGCTAGGGTTTTGCTGACTTGTCAGATTTGATGGAGGGGCACTGGCCACATTAGCGCGTCGGTTTTTTCAGTTGTATCAGATCTTGCAATGGACCCCCATTAATTCATTAAAAATGTGCTTCTTAGTGCAATATTCAGGGATAAATATTCTTTGGGATAAAGGCCTTACAAAAGATGTTTGCCCAGATAGTCTCAGACTGGTTTTTAAACTTGGTATATTAATGTTAAAATTGGCAAAGCAGCGTGCCACAAGAGCATGGAGTATTGTTTGTGTGCTGTTTATTGTTAGTACTCTTTTGAGTTTGGTTCTTTAATTATCTCTTAAAACTTGATGGTCTGAGGTGTTTTTCTGATTTATGAATGTTGTAATGCTTCTAGAACTTGTGTTCACAAACCTTGTAAGAGCTATTTTGAGGTGTGGGTGTTTGGTTATTTTTTGGCGGGA